TTATTGGAGTGGAAAGCATACAAACCGATGGTGGATGGGTTGCCTCCCACCAAGCGCTTCTTTAATGTCGTGGCCGGACGGTTGCTCCTCAAGTTTTGGTCCACCCTAGAACCTCCTTGAAGTTGAGGTTCTCGGCGGTGAGGTGACGTCTCAAGTCACGAGCATTGGACGAATCCATGATTGAGGGCTTGTGAACTTGAGTGGCTTTGAAGCTCCACCCACGAGACCTCTTCTTCTTTCCTTCTTCCTTCTTCTCTTTGCCCCATACCATGAAGTGCATCTTCGATTTACCACCATCGCACCCACCAAGAGGGATCGCCGATGGTTTGGCCTTGGCTTCGCAAAAAGCCCAAATGGGTCCTTCTCCAAAAGCGCGTCGAGGTCGGGTGGAAACCTTTCTTAACCCTCGTAACTTGTGGATGCTTCATCCACCACGACCTTGTCCTCATCTTGGACTCCACTTCCACCTTCGTCTTCATCTTCAACCTCCCTTCCTTCTTCAAAATTTGATTCCTCCCAATGGGAACACACAAGATCTTCCTCCTCTCCAATGCTCACTTCCTCCTCTTCAACCACTTCTTCCTCCTTCCCATTCATGTCTTCAAGCACGGTTTGGAGGGCAAGATGCCACGCAAGCTCATGAAAGGGATTCTCTTGCTCCTCCGCACTCGTGTCTTGGTCTTCAAAGTTGCTTTCGGGAAGGGGAAGATGATGGGATTCGTCAATGCAACCTTCTTGTTCATCCTCACCATGAGAGATCTCCGAGGTGAGTTCCTCTAGCTCCACATGGTTTTCATTGTGCGCCCCTTCAATCTTCTCTTTCTCCTCCAATAATAAGAGGCGATATCTTTCACAAGCTCGTGCCACTTTCTCTTCTAGTGTCAAACCGCGGGGAGGGAGGGGTTGGAAATCCATGCTGGAGCTCGTTCTTCCATAATTCTCATGGCTCGCCTCTTCGACTTCCTCTCTTTCTTCCAGTGGCAGGAGGCGATTGTGAGCAAGTTCTGCACATGCTTGCTCTACAAGCCCTCCTAGCCTCTCCGTGCGTCGACAGAGCTCCTCCGCCTCCTAAAGAAAGGTTGAGTCGATAGGGTTGCCGATTGGGAGGTCCATGCTAGAGCACCCTTCATTGGTGCCCCTAACAAATTGCTCCAACATGAACTCTAATTTGCTCTTTGGCTCCGGTTGTGGAGTGGCACATGGTCTTGAGGTTTCTGCCATGAAAGCCTCCATGACCAACTCCAACTTGGATTTCTCCTCGGGTTGTGGAGGGAAATCTTCTTGATATGGGGAAGCCTCTTCATGTCCCCAATGGTATGTTGTTCTTCTTGGAAGGAAGGTTGGTAATAGAACCTGGATCCTTGGCTTCCCCCTTCTTGTTCACTCCATGAAGCTCTAGGGTACCCCCATTCGTGTGGTTGTGGATAGCCCCACCTATTGTAGAAGCCATTGGGATCCATGATTCATAACCTACACAAACAAAAACACAAAAACAAAATCAAACAAACACAAACCACCCATCTAAGAGAAGAGTGGGTAAACAAAACGAAACAACGACACGAAACACAAAACAAAAAATGACTAAACACAAAATCAAATAACCTAGAATGGTCTCCAGCAACGGCGCCAAAAACTTGACTCGTTCTAACTACAACATACCAATCGACGACCAAGTATAATCGTCGACCGGGTGTAGCATAGGGCAAGCAAGCAATAAGAATTTATCGTACCACGGGGATCTAGGCTTACCCTACTTCAGGTTTAGGGTTTGTTATCTACCCAACTTAGGATAGTGATTGATAGAATCAAACTAACTAACCTAGCTATTTACAAGGTTTGGAGCTCTCTTGGGTTGAATTGTCCTAGGTTCGTTCTTTGGATCAATGTTGGGTATCCTCCTAGTTTGATCGACTCAAATACAGTACCGTTTGGAGATGGACTCCCTCAGGCGTGACCCGGCACGGCGAATCGATGGATAGGTAGTGCTCTATTCAACCTAGGGTTTCGTATAATGCTAGGAGAACGGTCGAATAAAATCCCTCGGGGACTACACGGACAATAAAAGATAAGAGAGACCCAAAGACGCCAAAAGGGGCTCTAAGGGGATTATCTCCCTCCTAGGTCAAAAGCTCAATACATGAAAATGGAAACCCAACTCATGCCAATCATGAAAACATCTATCAATTAAGTAAAATCACCAATCAAACATGGAATGTGTCACATACATCAGCATTAAGTCCAAATCTAGACCTAGGGGTTCTCAAAACCAAGAGAAGAGGGTGAGTTTCTAGAGAGAGAAGAGAGGGATTAAAAATTTGAGCTCAAGATCTTCTTCTTCTTCTAGGCTTGAATCCTTGTCTTCAAGATCAACCCAAGCCTCCAATGATGCTCCAAGATTACTCTAGCACTCTCTCTCTCTCACTAGAACTCTCCTTTGGTGTTTTGGGCTCAAACCCTAGAGAAAGAAACCAATTCTTCTCCAAAAACCAGCTCTCCTTTTTCTCTCCCCGCTGTTGTCTTCATAATTGCTCGAAAGTACCAGTTCACGGCCGTGAACACCAAAACGCGTCCGTGAACTCAGTGTTGTCCAAAACGCACCGCTTCACTCTCTTGGGTTCACGGTTTGTGCTCCATGTTCACGGTCTTAGCCTTGTCGTCAGTAACTTCTGGAACCTTGCTGGACGCCTCGGCGTTCACGGTTTGTGGTCCAAGTTCACGGTCTTATGAGACCGTGAACTGCCTTGTCCGACTGTGAACTGCGACTGTTTTTTCGGTTTTTGTGCTTTTTGACCTCCAATTATCCCAAAACTCGTCCTCGCCCCTTCCACACGTGCTAGGACTTGAAATGTATCAAAACAAGCACAACCTAGCATGAAATATGTCCGGGAACGATGGTCTACTAAGCTAAACGAATAAGAAATGAGGGGTAAAATGTGTACATTTGAGCTCGAATCACTAACATCGTTTGATGATTTGGCTTTTTTACTAATTTTCCTGCGTGAAATTTTTATATTTTATTTTTCTACTTTAAATTAGAAGTCATAAAAAAATAAAAATATCTCAGCCTGTTCACCTTCTTCCCATGCGCCGCCTCGAACCTTGTATTCACCTCCTCCCACTGCCAACATGTCCCTTAGATTTCTTCTTCATATTTGTTGAGTTTGGGCCATTGAGGAAAGCTCGACCCTAATCCCAACCTCATTTTTTGCGCTCGAGGAATCCGCAAATCCAAGCCGACAATGTCCAACGATCCAATGCTTATTAACTAGCGACCGGGAGGGACGGTAGTCGTCTGCTCGAGTTATGGTGGGATTAAGAAGGGGAAACACAACGAGGAAGTAAGAAAGCCTAGATTCAGGCGACAATTGCGGTTGCTCTTTCTTCTAGATCGATTTCTTTGCTCATTCCCCCCCCCCCCCCCCCCCTAAATGTTGTGTTGTAGAGCATCCCACCTGTCAATCAAAAAAAGCTCCTCTAGCATCATGACAATCACCGGAGATCTACCCCAATCCTTTATCCAATCGAGTTTTGTCAGAGATTTTGTAATCAAACTCGAGCGAGGGAGTCACAAGTATCGGCAACAACAACCCCATGGACAAGGAAGATCCAAATCTGGAGCAGTGGATTTCAATCTCCTCGTGGATTTGGATTTGGGATAGAGGTGATGGCGTCGGAAACTTAGAGGAAAACTCTTGCGGTGGGGTGTAATAGGTCGGAATCGAAGACGAAAAAAGAAATCTGGAGAATATGATTGTTTTTTTATGTAATTAACATAATTAAAAAAGAATATTTTTATGATGTGGTGATTATGTGGCAAGGGGAAGTTTAGGTGGCAACCACATCGGTATAACATTTAATTAACTGACGGTGTTATTGACAGTGTTAAAGTATTTGACGGATATAGACAAATTAGTCGTACAAATTTAAAAAGTGTGACTATAATTATGTATTATTCAAAATTTGGCTATAATTGTCTATGATTTTTGCCTATCCAATTGTATTAACAAATTTAACTAATGAAAACCATTTAGGGGCGGTAGCAGGTAAATTAAAAGAAAATGGAAAAGAAAACCATGGACACGCGAAAAGAATCCCCCAATATATTTCTCTTCCTTCTCCCTCCTCCTTCTTCCTCCTCCACACTGTACTCTACTAGCTGTGACTGTGAGCTTCCAAATATCTTCCCTCCCCGAAAATCCAAAATGTCGATGGCTAGGGTTATTTCCCGATCGTTGGAGGTCAGAGTTAGCTCTCGGGTGCCTAGGGGACGGGTTCAGTTAATTATGAACCCGTGGGATGCCCCACCGGAGCTGCTCTCCGGCGGCGAAGGTCAGGGAGTTGACTGGCGTAGGTAGGGTTGTCGTTCCAGACGGCTGGAAGACGGAAACCCTCTTCATTCCAGGATGGTCGACAAGGGAGGCACCGCCTGAGCTGTTCACCGGCGAACGGCTGGTCTACGGCGAGGGTTTGGTGCAGCTTCCCGACTGCTGGAAGCCTGAAATTTTGGTTCCTCGTGGATGGTCGAGGTTCACTGAAGCAGTAAAGAAGGAGCCCTCCCGGAACTTGGTGGAAGTAACAGAGCGCTATTTCGACCGAACAACGCTCAATAACATGGCGAAGCATGGAGGGAAGGATACGCTCGAGAAGATCCTCCGGAAATTCGATTGGGGAGGAGATGATGTCACTTTGAATGAGGTCTTCGAAATTACGAAACAATTGGACTTGAAATTTGAGAAGCTGACGGAGAACGAGTGGAGGGCTTGTGTGAGGGGAAAACTCGATGAGATAGCCAGCCGCTTACCTCCGGCGAAGCATGGCCACGGTGGTTCGTCGGTTCCCGTGGCGAAACCAACGGTGAACACTGGCGGCAGTGGGCAGAAACCCAAGGATCAAGTTGATGATGCCAAGGAATGACCTGTGTGCGAATGATAATTGTGTCCGTTTATCATTCGCACACAGGTCATTCTCCGAAAAGTTTCATAGCATTGTCATAGCAGCTCTTGAACACTCCCGTACGACCCAGGCCTTCTCTTCGTTTTCGGGATCAGTTGCCGGCGGGGACTGCGGTTGGAGGGGTTCCTGGGTGGGCTGGGCTCGACTACGTCGGCTTGCTCGACTCCGTCGGCTTGCTTGACTACGGGCACGGACTGCTGTTGGAGGTGTTCCTGGGACGGATCCTGGGTGGGCTTGAGCTTGACTCCGTCGGCTTGCTCGACTCCGTGGGTTCCATTTTCCTTGGCATCATCAACTTGATCCTTGGGTTTCTGCCCACTGCCGCCAGTGTTCACCGTTGGTTTCGCCACGGGAACCGACGAACCACCGTGGCCATGCTTCGCGCTGGAGGCACACACAGGTCATTCTCCGAAAAGTTTGAGCAGATCTTATATTTCATTGAGTGCTTGTCTTTAGGGGGTGTAGTACTTCATTGCGGCTCAGTTCTCCTTTTCCGTTTTTCTGAATCCTTTCCTTCTCTACTTTGAATGGTCTAAGCTTCTTGGAATATAATACAGTACTCTTTGGGATCTGCGTTCTGTTCATTGTTCCTAGCTTCCATCAAATGATGTTACTACTGTAGCGAGTTGTCTGTTATTGGATCTTCAATGCCAGATCAAGGAGCTCTTGCCTCTTTACAGAAAGTTTGTGGATCTCAGGAAACAGCCAGAGCTCAAGATGTACGATCTTTCACTATTTCAAGGGAGGGCTGAACAAAATGAGCATCATAAGGTTGTATATCTAACTCTTTTCATCAGTAACATACTTGTTCAATGAGACTCATGCTGTGTCTTGTCTCACTCCACTGTGTCATAGCTTGGTGAATTGGGGAAGAAGATTAAGCCAAGATCTTGAAGATGCAAAAGTTGCAGCAGAAGAAAAACAGAACTTGTATGATCAGTGTGTCAGCTCTGTTGCACAGCTGGCGAAGTCAATCAAGTAGCATGACAATAGTCGGGAAACAAGGCTTAATGATCTAGCGAAAAAGGTTAAGAAGACAAAGCCCCAAATGCAGTCAGCTTCAAAGGATCTCAAGGTCAGGAACGCTTTCTTTTTTCTGCTGGATTGCTATTGCATTGTTAACTTGTACCAACCAAAAGTCTGATACTGTGAAATGCTAAGACTTCTCTAACTGAATAACTGCATCGAGTTGTAACATGTTCTGTCTTGTTAATAGGCACATGAGCATGAAAGAGAGAGAATGGTTTTGGAACGTGAAGTAGTCATCAAAGAGCATGCGTCATTAGAGAGTCAATCAGCCTCCCCTTGAAGGCACAAATCAATAGTCTTGATGTTGAAGTAGAAGAACAAAAAGCCAAGGTAATATCTAGACCTGGTTCAGGCTCTGTTACATGTACTATGTACATAATTGCAGGAGTACTTGAACAAGGCTACTGTTGCAGGTAGCATCCATACATGGTAATTGTGGTAGTGCTCAATCTGAGCTTGATTCTGTCCGCCATAAGATGAAAGAGTATGACACCCAAGTTAGTAGCATTGTCAAGGAACAGCAAAAGCAACTGCACAAAATTACTGAGATCAAGCTTGAGCAAAAGAAGTTGGAAAATGAGGTAAATCTGTGTTCGCACTGGTACTTTGCATGCTCAATGATCTAAAACATGATATTTTACCGTTCTGTAATAGTTGAAAAGAATGGAAATGGAACACAATGATTGCTCTACTAGAGTTGAGAAACTGCTGGAGAAGCATGCCTGGATTGTAACTGAGAATCAGTTATTTGGAAGAAGAGGAACTGATTATGATTTTGAATCACGTGATCCTCATAGGGCTAGGACGGAACTGGAGAAGCAGAGCAATCAGGGCGACTAAAGGGTTATTGCGACAGTGCATTCTATTATTTAACCTCAGGGTTAATAATGTGAAAGCATGCAACTTTTTGCCTACCTTCCTGCATAAGAATAACTAGCCTTCTGTTTTGTGCACAACACATGCTTTTCTGCAGACTTTAGATTTGCATGTTCTATTACCTAGTGATGCTTGTTCCTTAGTATTGCTTTTTTATATATGAACCTACTGTAGTTTGGAGAAAAGGTGAACAAGAAAGTTATGGCGATGTTTGAGAAAGCTGATCTGTTAGTTCCTTGTTTTTTCATTAGACTGATTAATCACCTATGCCTCTTTGCGATGAATGGAATCTTTGCTTTGAAGTCTTATTGCATTTTTGGTGTTTCTAGCATGAGTTTTGATTAACCTGAAACAGCATTGAAATTAATTTCAGCCAAATGCTTCGATGAGGGGTCATGTTGATGAATTTCCTGTTGAGAAACCGGGCAGCAACCACAAGCAAGAATAGAATGCACAAGACACACGATTTTTACGTGGAAAACCCAAATCGGGAAAAACCACGGGACCTTTGTCCAAGCCACAACTCCACTAGACTTTGGTGGGATTACAAGTCCTCTCTAGACTAGCTAGAGGATTACAAACACCTCAAGAACACCCTTCTTGGATCAACAATCACCCACAATAGCTCTCACCAACATGGTGGATAACAAGAACAAGAGCAAGACAAAGAGAGGTTGAAAGATACCCAAAAATAGATTCGTACACCTTCTGTCCACCAGCGATTCCCGACGAACTAGACCTCAGAATGACGATCCCTTCGATCAGAATGAAGCCCAGACAATTGCGAACCCACTGTCCAAATTTCAGGACGATCCAACGGTTCAATCTTCCAGAACGCTCACTTGAACAGGCTGCCCTGCTGCAGAAACGAAAAACTGCAGCTCTTCCTCTCTTTTTCTTATCTCTTCTCTTTTCTTTTCTTTATTCTCTCTCTAAAAATGAAAGGCTGTCCACTCTTTTCACTTTTGAGTAGCAATAACTCTCTATTTTGAAAATAGAGGATCTTCTAGAAACCAACCAAAAACCCAAACTCAAACTGGTTAATCCAACCACCATATGAGTTGGACCAACCCAACAAATCTCCCCCTCCAGCTCATATGGGGGGTAACACCAAACCTGCTTCATCTCGACAGAAGATATGTTTTCCACTTGGTAGAGACTTAGTCATCATGTCCGAACCATTGTCATCCGTATGCACTTTGTTGAGCTCCAACAACTTCTCTTCCAAAACATCACGAATCCAATGATATCGAACATCTATGTGTTTCGACCTTGAGTGGAAAGTTGGATTCTTGCAAAGATGGATTGCACTTTGGCTATCACAGTAGAGCACATACCTCTCTTGCTTGATGCCCAACTCTTGAAGAAACTTCTTCAACCATAACATCTCTTTGCAAGCTTCTGTCACGGCTATGTACTCGGCTTCTGTTGTTGATAATGCAACACATTTTTGCAGTTTAGATTGCCATGAAACTGCAGCACCTGCAAAAGTCATCATGTATCCAGAAGTCGACTTTCTAGAGTCCACATCACCTGCCATGTTAGCATCGGTATATCCATCAAGTATGGTCTTGCCATTACCAAAGCATAGACACACTCTAGAACTACCTCTCAAGTAGCGAAGAATCCACTTCACTGTTGTCCAATGTTCTTTTCCCGGATTGGAAAGAAACCGACTGACAATCCCAACTGCATGAGCAATATTCGGTCTTGTGCAAACCATAGCATACATCAAGCTCCCAACAGCTGATGCATAAGGCACATTCTTCATTGCTTCTTTCTCTTCCTCACTTGTAGGACAATGCTTCGAACTCAATATGAAATGTCCTCCAAGTGGAGTACTAACCGCCTTAGCCTTGCTCATGTTGAACCGCTCAAGAACTCTTTCAATATACCTTTCTTGAGATAACCAAATTTTTCCATTCCTCCGATCCCTAGATATTCTCATCCCTAGAATTTGTTTTGCCGGTCCTAGGTCCTTCATGGCAAAGGATTTACTCAACTCCTTTTTCAATCTATCAATCTCTCCAACATTCCGACCCACGATCAACATGTCGTCCACGTAAAGCAAGAGAATGATGAAATCATTTTCAGCAAAGTATTTCACAAACACACAATGATCGGAGGTAGTTCTTGCATACCCGTTTTTGACCATGAATGAGTCAAATTTCTTGTACCATTGCCTTGGTGCTTGCTTCAACCCATATAAGCTCTTGCTCAATCTGCATACAAGATCTTCTTTGCCTTTAACCTCGAACCCTTCCGGCTGATCCATGTATATCTCTTCCTCTAAGTCACCATGAAGAAACGCCGTCTTCACATCGAGTTGTTCAACTTCCAAGTCCAAACTTGCAGCCAACCCAAGCACAACTCGGATAGAAGACATCTTCACCACGGGAGAGAAAATTTCTTCAAAGTCAACACCTTTCTTTTGGTTGAAACCCTTCACAACTAGTCGCGCCCTAAACCGAGGCTTTGAACTAGTTTCCTCCGTCTTTAACTTGTAGACCCACTTGTTCTTAAGTGATCTTTTACCTTTGGGTAGTTTCACCAAATCATAGGTGTGATTCTCATGCAAAGACTTCATCTCTTCTTGCATTGCTTTGTTCCACTCCTCCTTGTCTTCATGAGACATGGCTTCTTGATAATATTCGGGTTCTCCCCCGTCAGTCAACAATAGGTACTCATGAGGGGAGTACCAAGTGGAAGCTTTGCGATCTCTTGTTGACTTTCTTGGTTCGGGTAGAGGTTGCTCTTCTTCAACTTGTTCTTCTTGCTCCAATTGCTCTTCTCCTTGCACATCTTGATCTAGTGCACCTTGGGGCTCATTATGCACTACTTCATCAACATTTTCATGCATTTGGGATGGAGATATAGGCTCCAAATTAACCGGACCAGCTCCTGTATTTTTCTTCTTTTCACCCCTTTCGACGTCTTCAATTGTCTCATCTTCAAGAAAAATCACATCCCGGCTCCGAACAATTTTCCTTGCAATTGGATCCCATAATCTGTATCCAAACTCTTCACGCCCATAGCCCATGAATATACATGGCTTTGCTTTGTCATCAAGCTTTGCTCTCTCATCTTTTGGAACATGAACATAAGCTTTGCAACCAAACACTCGCAAGTGTTCATATGAGACTTCCTTTCTGGTCCATACTCGTTGAGGCACGTCACCCTCCAAAGGGACCGATGGTGAAAGGTTGATTAGATCAACAGCTGTCCGCATTGCTTCTCCCCAAAATGATTTAGGTAGCTTGGCATGTGAGAGCATACACTTGATTCTCTCACAAATTGTTCTATTCATCCTCTCGGCGACACCGTTTTGTTGTGGAGTCTTGGGTACACTTTTCTGCAGTTTAATTCCGTGCAATCTGCAGTAGCTTTCGAATGGACCTCTATACTCTCCCCCGTTATCAGCCCTTACACACTTCAACTTCAGGCCGGTTTCCCTTTCCACTTCAGCATGAAATTGCTTAAAAACATCTAGCACTTGATCCTTCGTTTTCAAAGCATATGTCCACACCTTCCTTGAGTGATCATCGATGAAGGTAACATAATAGCTTGCACCACCAAGAGTTTTATCTCGCATAAAACAAACATCGGTGTGAATTAGATCAAGTACCTTACTCCTTCTAGAAGGTGGAAATCTATGAAATGCAACTCTATGAGTTTTTCCGGCTAAGCAATCAACACAAGTTTTAAGAAGAGTACCTTTAGCTCCGGGCAAGAGTTGTTTCTTGGACAATATTTGCATCCCCTTCTCGCTCAAATGACCGAGTCTCTTATGCCAAAGCTCAATGGAAGAATCTTTCTCAGCAACATTGATTCCTTCCTTGCTATGCTTTGCATTCGTCATGTAGAGCGTACTTTCCTTCTTGCCTTTAGCCACCACAAGAGAACCTCTTGAGAGCTTCCATTTTCCTTCTCCAAAATAGTTGGTATAACCATCATCATCAAGCTTTCCCGTGGATATCAAATTCAGCCTCATGTCAGGAACATGTCTCACATCCTTCAAGACTAGCTTGCAACCCGTGTTGGTCTCTAGATGAATATCACCCATGCCAACAATCTTTGATGCACCATCATTTCCCATCCTCACACAACCATAGTTACCGTTTGTGTAGGAAGAGAAAAAAATCAACCCGTGAGGTCACATGAAATGAGGCACCCGAGTCAACAACCCATGTACTCTCTTGACAAGCAATGTTAACAAAACCGGCATCACAAACAATGACTATGTCACCATCTGTGGCAGCAGCAGTAGTATCATCTTTTTCTCGGTTTTCCACACATTTTCCTCTAGCTTGTTCCCGTTTCAAGATTCTGCACTCTCTCTTCATGTGTCCGGGCTGGTTGCAATGATAACATGTGATTTCTCCTCTTGGTCTTGACAATGATTTTGATCTTCCTTTTGATCTCCCTCGGCTGTTACTTCGATTATGAGAGTTTTTGAAGTTGGAATTTCGATTTCTGCTTCTTCCACGACTTCCAGAATTATCCGCCACCAAAGCATGTGACTCTGATGTAATCCCCAACTCTTTTCTCCTTGCCTCTTCATTCAGCATGCTATCCTTGACAATGTCCATCGTCAACTTGCCATTAGGTGTTGAGTTGCTAAGTGAGACCACCAAAGTCTCCCAACTATCCGGCAAAGAACTGAGAAGTAACAATGCTTGCACTTCATCATCAAGTGCTAACTTCATAGTAGTTAGTTGGTTCACAAGCCCTTGAAAGTCACTTAAATGCTCCGAGACACTATGCCCATCCTTGTACTTCAAGTTCACAATTCTTCGAATGAGTGAGGCTTTATTTTGAGCCGATTGCCTCTCATACATGGACTCCAATTTCTGCCACAATTCATCTGCTCTTGTAGAGCCCTTCTAGTGTGCTCTATAGCACCCATGCTATAAAAAACAAAAAAAAAAAAGGTGACCTGTTGAGGAGGTAAACCCACTAAATGACTGGTCCCACATCATTAATGGCAATCTTGTAAATAATGAATCAATGTATACAAGTGTAGGTACAACTTAAAGTTGTACCATTAGTATAGGTACAAGTTTCAGCTGTACCATTGAAGAATTTGTTTCACAAAGTGTAGGTACAACTTAAAATTGTACCATTAGTATAGGTACAATTTTGAGTTGTACCATGAAGGGATTTAT